TTAGAAGGTGTTTTGCTTCCATCTGCTGGACAAATACAGCATTAAACGAATATCCATTGCTGTTATTTTTTTTTTTTAAATAGGTTTACCTATTTATGTAGATAATATTTCATTTATCTAATAAAAACACATCTGAATAGCTTAGCAACAATATAGTTTATACTATGGTGTAATAAAATTGTATTTTTAGAATAAAAGAACAAAGCAGTAAATTCCACATATAGTAATATTATGCATAATTTATCCAGAAACAATGAGATTAAAATGTTACATTTATTCAAATAATTCATGAAAAAAATGTATCTACTTCTACTAAGTTTTCTACTAAGTTACAAGTGTTTGAAGTGATTAGACTTACAAAAATCAGTCACCAGTCTTGTATCTCCTGTGTGCAGGTGCAGGCTTTGATGCTGAATATAACCTGTAGTGTTTTTGTATCAATCTCCTTTAAGTTGTGTGACTTTATCTCCATCCTGACTTATCAAATATATGATTCTATCCTCAGTGAAGTGTCTTTTCATGGTGGAGGAGGAGTCCCGCTCATCAGCGCAGATGTTCTCTTGATATATATATGGAGAAAATCAGAAATGCCTCCTCTGATTTGTCACTGAAGTTGTTTGATGATTTCCTCTGTTGTGTCTAATAAGGTAACAGTGAGTGTCATTGGCAGCTGTGAGAGTCTCTCTCTCTTTAGGGGACTGACAGGAGCCAGTTTCTTCAGTGTGTGAGGGAGCAGAGGTGAACCTTGTGCTGCATTCTGAGCTGACGAGTGTGTGTCGAGCAGAAGATGAAGAGCTTTCTGATGCTGATGTTTCTGTGTTATATGGTAAAACTCACCACCTCTGGTAAGTACATAAAGAGGTTCTTTATTCTTTCATATGAGCTAAAACCATGTAATGATGTTACACTTACATTGGTATATTTACTAGTTGTCTCCCTGTCGCTCATGTGTAGACAGTGTGAGTGTGAGATTGGGGAATGGCAATAATCCCTGTGCTGGTAGAGTGGAGGTTCTTCATGATGGTCAGTGGGGAACAGTGTGTCATGTCTTCTGGGATATTGCTGATGCTGCAGTGGTGTGTAGAGAGATGGACTGTGGGACGGCTGTAAAAGCAACATATGAAGCTCATTTTGGAAGTGGATCAGGGCCAATTTCAATGGGTTTTATGCTCTGTAGTGGATCAGAGACTGCACTGAAAGACTGCAGGTCAGATAGCGAATATACAGCAGATATGGAACAGTACTGTAATCATGATCAAGATGCTGGTGTCGTCTGTTCAGGTAAGCTGTCCCTCAGCTTGTTATCACATCACTCTTTCATAATCCTCACTCAAGCAATATAATGTTTCTGTATGCTGGTTAGTGATGTATGTCTCGAGACCGGTCTTGGTCTCGGTCTTGTCACGGCCTTGACGGTCTTTGGTCTCGGTCTTGTCTTGGTCTCGGACCTCCCGGTCTTGTCTAGGTCTCGCTGTCTCAGACCGACATAGTGGTCAGGGGATTGAGCAATACAATACTACATTATCCACGACGATATCCGCAACGTATTGAAGCGCGCGTCCGAGTGAAGACAGTGCGGTGCGCGCGAGCCACGCGAGAAAACACTGTATCCGCGCCACTGATCGCAGCGGCAACGAGCACTTTGATCACTTGATTTAAAAAACACATATCATGTACAGTTTTTGATATATTAATATTTAGTAAAACACATATCAGTGACATGATGGGTTTTACCTTCATTCAGGAGATTTTGGGTAACTGCACAACTGACAGATGACTTTGAGCGCACCGCCAACGTCATGTCAACGTCTGGTGTGTGTGTGTGTAACCATAGCGACAAAAACGACCAACTTTCGGATTCTGCACTTAAGCCTATAATTTCGTTTTAAAAAATATAATTATGTATTTAAAAGTTGCAGAATGGATTCATTTGGAGACTTCGAAATCAGCAGAGATAGGCAGGCAAATGCAAAACAACATTTGACAAGTTATTGCTTAGCTTCAACAATAATGTTTTTTCCCCTCCGGTCTTGACTTGGTCTCGGTCTTAGTCTCGACTTGGTCTTGGTCTCGACTTGGTCTGTCTTGGTCTTGGTCTTGGTCTTGTCTTGGTCTCGATACCATCTGGTCTTGGTAGTGTCTTGGTCTCGGTTTAGGCGGTCTCGACTACAAGTCTAATGCTGGTGAGGACAAACTGCATCAGTCAATCTTATGAAACATGCAATCTATTTCATTATTTTGTTCATGATATTTTTTTATTCCCATTCCTTATTTTCGTATAATAAAATACGATGCAGAGAATCCCCACTAAATAGGCCTAATGTCTTTTTTATTATTCACAGCCGGATTTGACAATCTTATTTACATTCTTTATTTAAAGAAGATTATAAAATTACAGATGAAAGATAACATTACAGATAAAATAAATTCAGATTAAGTGAATTAATGAAATGTAAAATGTCAAAATTTAATGATAGATTTTTGTAGTGTTCCAGGTGAATAGAGATGTTTAATTAATGATCTGTCTTTATAATTCAAAAACTCAGAGCAAGGACTTCGACTCGTGGACGGGTTTCACCTGTGTTCTGGGAGAGTGGAGGTTCTTCGTACAGAAGGATGGGGCACAGTGTGTGACGCTGCCTTTGACCAGCAGGATGCAGAGGTTGTGTGTAGAGAGCTGGACTGTGGAGCTCCTGTACAGGTGCTGGGAGAAGATGCTTTTGGCAAAGGAAAGGGTCGAGTTTGGTCAGAGGAGATTCAGTGCAGAGGAAATGAGTCTCAGATTCACCTCTGTTCACGATCATCTTCACAGATACACAGCTGTTCCCATGACAATGATGTTGGAGTGATTTGTTCTGGTTAAGTAAACATTTCACATTTATTTAGATAAATTACATTCCTTATATACTGATGTTGTATTGCTCAATTATCTGGATTCTAGTTTCATGTTTAAATAAGCTTTCAGTTCTCTGCACAGGTTACACAGATCTCAGACTGGTAAACGGCTCAGACTCTTGTTCTGGTCGAGTTGAGCGTCAGTACTTCAGTAAATGGGGCACAGTGTGTGATGCATGCTGGGATATGAGAGCTGCCAGTGTCCTCTGTAGACAGCTGAATTGTGGGATTGCTGTGTCTGTTGTGGGATCAGACTGGTTTGGAGAGGGAAGTGGTGAAATCTGGGCTGATGTGTTTGATTGTGACGGGAATGAAACAAAACTCAAAGAATGTTCAATCTCTTCATGGAGTCGAGCTGAACGTTCTCATAGACGAGATGTTGGAGTCGTCTGCTCTGGTGAGGGGGTTTTATTTTTTTTAAATGCATAAAATACCTTGCAATATCTTGATTAAAATGCCAGATATTTCCATCAGATTCCTCTCTGGCTGTTCATGACGGTCTGGTGCGGTTGTCTGGAGAGAGACAGTGTGAGGGGGAGCTGGAAGTTTCCATCCATCAGGTCTGGAGGAGAGTTCTGCTGGACTCCTGGAGTCTCACTGAATCCTCTGTGGTCTGCAGACAGCTGGGCTGTGGCTCTGTGCTGAACTTCTCCAGCTCCTCTTCATCCAGTCCTGAACACAGTCATGAGTGTGTGACGGGCTTCCAGTGCTCTGGGAGTGAAGCTCATCTGGGGAACTGCAGCTCTCCACACACTCTCAACTGCAGCTCCACACAACAGCTGTCAATCACCTGCCTTGGTGAGAACAACAACATCTGGGCAGATTCCTCAGTTGTTGGTGATCAATAATGTGTTTTTCTCTCTCTGAATATCAGGTCGCGGGTCCATCAGGCTGGTGGGTTCTGGGGGAGACTGTGCAGGGAGGCTGGAGGTTTTTCACAGCGGCTCATGGGGGACAGTGTGTGATGACTCCTGGGATATTAAAGATGCCCATGTGGTGTGCAGACAGCTGCAGTGTGGAGTGGCCCTCAGTAACCAGCAGGTACCAGCCTGGTTTGGTCCTGGTTCTGGACCCATATGGCTGGATGAGGTGGAGTGTGAGGGGAATGAGACGTCCCTGTGGAACTGCTCTTCTCCAGGCTGGGGGAAACATGACTGTCAACACAAGGATGATGTAGGAGTCGTGTGCTCAGGTAAATGGTAAAGTAATTTCATTGATTTTTAAATATATCATTTCAAATGTTTAAAGGAATAATGTGCAGCTGGTCATTTTTGCAAAATAAACACCAGGATAATCAGGAGCAGATAGATCATATTTTGCAACAAAGACCATCTTACTGTATCGATGGTCTGATAGACAGTGCTGATATGGATCCCGCTACTTTTTAAATATTTTTCTATTGACCAAGCAGAATCAAGTAGTACATAAGATTCATAATATACTATAAAAATATAATTAAGTATCTTTTTCAGATGCTACCAGTGCTAGCAGCATGCATTAGCCTTGTATTGTTTAGCATGTTTAGCACAACCTGAATTAAAAAATGTATAAAGCACATCCTTTTCCATCAAGAGTTTAAAGAGATCAGGTTAACTGAGGGCTGTGAAGGGAATGTGGAGGTTTTCTACAATGGATCCTGGGGTAATGTGTGCTGGAACCAGATGGACAGAGACACAGCGAGTCTGATCTGTCAAGAGCTGAACTGTGGAAGATCTGGTGTTGAATCCTCTTCTACACCAAGACTGGAATCAGCTCGTAACTGGCTGGATGAAGTGAAATGTCGAACACATGATTCACATCTGTGGCAGTGTCCATCTTTACCCTGGGGACAGACCTACTGTAATAATGATGAAGTGGCCAAAATCACCTGCTCAAGTGAGATTATGTTTAAATTATGTAAGATGGTCTCTAGTTATGTTTCTTTAAACACAATGTTTGTATATAATGTGGTGAATAAATTGTTTCTGAAACACTAAACTAATTTGATGGACATAGCCTAAAATTATTTATTAGACTTAAATCATGTTTTCACATTGATATGTTTCACTGAGTGAAGTTATGATTTTTGTGTCCTAATTTTCAATTCTCTTAATATTTAATCTCAGAGGAGGAAAATCCTGAGTCTCCTCGGAGTCGTCTGACATGTTCCACCTCACCATCTCCTCACCAGAGACAGTGTTCAAGTAAGATTTTTAATTTAGGACTGTTTTCCATAATAAAATAATAATCAAATTCATAAATGTAATCCACTAATCATACATTTAAAGCCGTCTTAGTTAAGTTTCCATGTGTTTTGTTGTAAATGTTGTGCTGAAGCTGGTCAGTGATGTTGCTGTGTGTGTTTTAGATCATGTTCCTCTCAGACTGAGTGGAGGTTTGGGCCGGTGCTCTGGGAGGCTGGAGGTGTATCATAACGCTGCGTGGGGTTCAGTCTGTGCTGATCTGTGGGACATCAGCGATGCTCAGGTGGTCTGCAGGCAGCTGGGTTGTGGAGACGCACTGAGGGCTGATGGGAATGCAGTCTTTGGTGCTGGTGAAGGTGTTGTGTGGCTGAACAGAGTCGAGTGCAGAGGGAATGAGATTCACCTGTGGGACTGTCCTCTCTCCCTGAAGAACCACACTGACTGTTCTCACAAAGAGCTCGCTGGACTCACATGTGCAGGTCACTGCAAAACACTGACCAATATTAGTCATTTTAATGCTAATAATCTTTGTCTATTTGCATGATTTTGAATGTGTTTGTGTGTGTTTTGCCAGATTTGTCAGAGTCCACTACTCCTGCCACAACAACATCAGCTTCTCCTCCAGTATCTCAGACAGTGCGCTCAACATCAGTCACTCCTCCACAAACTCCTCCAGCAGCGTCTCTCTCTGTGCTTGTGGTTGTACTGGGAGTTTTGCTCTCACTGCTCTTAATGCCACTGCTTATACTGATTCAACGGAAAAGAGTGATGAGGAGAGGTAGGAGAGATCCAGAGACTGTCATATTGTGTCTTATTCAGTGTGTGATCAGTCATGTGTTGTGAACTGACAGCAGGTTTGTCTGTCTACACTCACAGCTCTCTCTGACTGGTACACAGGACTACACAGGACTCCGACTGAGGCCGTTTATCAAGAGATTCATCACAGACAATGTCACTTCACTCAGAGGGGTGAGGCATCATGGGAACATTTTAAAAGCTTTAATTATGTTACAATTTATGTGTTTAGAGATTCTGAAAACCTTGATGAGAAAATGAAATTGACATAGACAGTCAAGCACACACCTCAGTAAGGTGCATACAAAGGTTTGGGATTGCAGTATGAGACAGTTTATCCTTCAGTCTTAATCACATCCTAATGTTTTATTAACAAAGTATAGGAGGAGCACGTTCAGATAATCTACCCAATTAACATGAGTAGACCTATATATATAAATAGCCAACTCACCTCTGTCCCATGACAGTTTTTCAGCATCCCAACTCCTCACTCTCAACTGTTCCTATCCCAGACATTGATGAGGGGTACATTCGATCTCGGAGCCTCCCCTCGGATAGAATGCCAAATACACATACTCTTTACTCTATTTGATTATATGTAAGTGTGAACTGGTGAATATCACTTTATCCTGAAATAAGGGGAGACAGTTCAGTGATCCAGATCTGATCCTGATCCACTCTAGAACTAAAGCTTTGTCTTTCATTCACATCTGCCTTATAAACTTTAATTATATGAAAAGTAAGATATTCATGAAAGTCTCTCCACTGAGAATGTCAAATCGGTTTGACTATTTATGTTTCTGGGCTGTTGATGTGTAATCAGATGAACCTGTAGATAAGAATTTACCAGCCACCAAACCACAAAGCTCCATGTTTCAGTGAAGATCTCGTGTGAATTTTTAGAGAGTGTTAAGCACTAAGCAGGGGGTAATATTTGGTGCATTTGTAGAGTTGGAAGAGATAAAGAGCTTACATAATGTAGCCTCCCAATCCCAATTAATTAAAAAATAAGTAAAAATATGATATGAATGATAACATCAGTTCTTTGAATAAATGAAAGTTTATTGAAACAGAAACAGAAACAGTTTAGTTCAAACATTTGGCTACTGACAGATGCTGAGCAACAGACATACTTCAGTGTACTGGATCAGTGTGTTACTGTCACTGTCTGATGCCGCTGGTCACTGTTATTTTCCACGGACTGAACATCTTCCATCTTCATTTGTCGGGTCATGGAATGATGATTGTCTCATGCATCTGTTACTGCGGTGTGAATTAGCCCTGGAAATGCAGTGAGCTGAATAAACACACAAGGTGCAGAGCGGTAAAATAAAGAAAAAAAACATGATCTTCAGATGTGTTTTTAAAATTTTGACATTTAACTTGACACAGCATTGAAAAAAAAAAGCCCATGCATCGAGATCAAAGGTTTTTACTCATTTTACTCATTCAAAGTCTTTTATTCATTTTTAAATAAATGTTTTCTTTCTATGCATCTTATTAATCTTTTATTTATGAATTAGTCATTGATTGCTATATTAAAAGGGAATAAATAATACATAAAAAAATATATAAAAGGGTATTACAAGTTATAATGTGGTTTTATTTTACATGTGTATCAGAGGGAGATCAGGAGTATGATGTGAAGAACAGCAGTGAAGATGGAAAAAAACGGTTAGGTAAGACACTTATCTTTTTACATAACTAGATACATTTAATTTGTATGTTGCTCAACTAAACTAAGCCTAAATGCAATTAAAACAACAGAGTATGTGAATTTGCTTTTGTTTTTAATAACAGGCTATGATGATGATGGGGGAGGAGTCAAATAAAGAGGGTGGGGCCATATGACTCACTGACCACACCCACTTCATCTGTTCATGAAATCATATTACAGTTACAGGAGCTGGGAGTTTCTTATATTGCTATTAAAGATTTAGTGCCTTATGTTTTTGTATTATTTTAAATCTGTTCTATTCATCCTGTTTACCAAATAAAAAAATAAAAAATCATTTTAGACAGCATTTTGACAGCATTATCTACCAACATATAATTACAAATAACATATAAAGCATAACATAACATGAAATGTTTAAGGAATGTTTCTCACTCTTAGATTTATCTTTGAGCAATTGATGTTGTGTATTTATCATTTCTGAAATGGCTTTTAATTGTGTAGTTGGCGTAATACATTTTTACCTGACAAATAAATTGTTGTTATATTTGATTTATTCTGTATTCTTCTGAAATCATAATGACCAGTAGATTAGGTGGAGTCTGGTGTTTCCTCAAATCTGTGTCCAGGATAGGTCAACCTAAAGGCTCATGAATGAATGGACTAGTAGGCAGTAGGCGCGTCATCTGAGACCTTTTGATATCTGTCTATCAATGACTTAGCAAGTTGTACAGAAGTGGCTAAATAAACTACACTTATTTTGTACAAGTGAGCAGTAGGCAACCAACTAAAAAGGTAATAGTTAACCTTGCACCCTCTGACTAAGATCAGACTGGTGAGTTTGTGTCCGTGAAGATCCACGTAACCCGGCCAGCATTCAACTCTATGCGACAACGGGTCTCTAATGGACGAATAATTGAAGAGTAAGGGAAAGGGAATACTAAAACTACATTAGTAATAATCTCAGTCTAAACTGTATAGTGATTTGGAATTGGAGTTAGATTAAGTCTGGAGCTGAAGTAAAATTCGAACTAAATTCTAATAAATTAAGTAAACTTTACAGAAGCGCATGTAAAAGACCTACATGCATTATACCTTCGCCCACCCTGTTGGTTTCCGTCATTGGGCCAATGGATGGTCCTTACACAGTATAGATAATGATCGTTAGCTATTTCTAAGTTATGCAAAAACTAGTTGGGACAAAGCCATCTCAGTCAGTCACATCAGTAGCAAGTGCTATTGAACCTGATTTCACCAAGTGCAACATATTCTTGGATCAACATTTTTGATAATTGAGCAACATTTCAATCAATCAAGCAAGCAATCAAGCAAACAATCAATCAATCAATCAATCAATCAGATTTGAGGGAACAGTTTAGTTTATGTAGGCTTAGCCAAAAACAAGGGTTAGGGGCTTCCATTCAATTCTTACTCACCCATCAGTTCCCTCTGATTTTAGGGATAAGTTATGGGTAGGGTCAGGTTTAGGGTTAGGACTACATTTTCGGACAGTGTTGTTCCAGGATCAACAAAATATCTTGCTTAGCAAAATCAGGGTGATAGGCAAGTACTACAGGAAGCATGGGGTGAAATGTCACCTGAGTACCTGGACAAACTCCCCTTTGATGATGGCTATCGGATACAAAAGCTGCTGCAGTGGTGTGTAGAGAGCTGGACTGTGGTAAAGCATTATGTGCAGTTGGTGTTGCTCACTTTGGACAAGGATCAGGACCAATATGGAGGGATGAACTACTAGATCCGAGTCATGTAGCTTTATTAAAGGTGCAGTAATCAATTTCTGAGAAGTTGAAAGTGGTTCTGAGTCCAAGCGCCAAAACACACTTGTAGCCAATCAGCAGTAAGGGGCATATGCACTCCTTATTGGGGAGGTGCCTGTGCTTCTCAAACGGAAGGCTGGATCCTACCGAGACTGCATTCTTCCTAGTCCAGTCCTTCTGATGCTTGTAGGCTAGACTCCTACTCAGCAATTAAACGCTAGAATGAGACGGTCTTGTAAGAGCGCATGGCTACGTCACACATGTTTCCGCCCTCACGGTTAGTGCACTAATATACTATTAATACTTAATTTTAGGAAAATTAAATTATATTACAAATCTTTATATTAACTGGCTTTCTATTAATGCAATACAGTGATTGACAGCCATCTGCGGTCTCCCAGTGGCTTACATTATTGTCAGTTTACTGTTAGTGATTCATTTACAGCCAGAAAAAAAGATAACATCTATTCTTTTATGTCCGGAAACATTATTTTTGTCTTACATTTCATAATAAACTCAGACGACTCAATATCCGTCCGTTTTGTGGATGATTTAAGGCCACGAAGGATACATCCGAATGCATCCTTCAAAACAGGCCGAATGAAGGACACGAAAGGAAGGCTGGCTTCAAATTGAGATGGCCTTCAGCGACGTTTGATGACGTGACAGCCTTCATAGGATGCAGCCTTCCGTTTGAGAAACACCCAGGGTGTTTATCAGCTATCAAGATAGGGCGTGATCCTATTTGTTTGGTGATTTCAAATATCAACACTTTTTTTTTTAAATCGCTTACTGCTCCTTTAAATGAAATTGAATAAAAACATAAATTAAAAATGTGACTGTGTAAAAATCCCATTCTCATCTCTCACAAAACCACATCTTTTATGAATTAAATGAATCAGTAATCTTAGTATATCATGAAGCAGCAAAAGTTCATTGTGTCTCATAACCTCTCGCTCTCTTTGCTTTAGCGTCTCTGCTTGTTCTGCATATCTGATCTTCGACTGGTCAACAGGATGAGCTGATATCCATCCTGTGATCTCCCCTCATTCAGCCCTCAAACAAGCATTAATATATTGATGACTGTTGTAGGAATTAAATTGTTTAATATCAGGCTTTTTACCAAAATATTTAACCACAATAAAAATGTCTGTTCAACCATCGAAACAATTCATACAGAATTTCCATTATGAGAAAGAACCGAACAATTTCGGTTCCAGTAAGAGATCAACATGGAGACACTCTCTCCTGCCGTAAAACAAGAACAAGATGCTTATCATCTCTTTTCTGGAATATGGGTTTTGCTGCCATTTATTGGAAGACAAGACCGCATTTCAGTATAAATTGCTCATTGTCTCCCTTGTCCGCCTGTCTTTAGAATAAGAAGTGTTTTGT